AAGCACGACTCGAGAACCCAAACAAGGAAGAAGAAAGAACGAATCCAAACACTCGTTGTTTAAACACAACCCCAAAGTAGACTGGAGATCACAAAGGATCATCTTCAGTCAGTGCCTGCCCAAATGTAGCATGAAGGGTGATGAGTTCCGAACTGAGGTTCAGAAGGAGGAAGCATGTCAGCAACGGCCTCCAGGTCAGCTAAACAGTGAGTAACCCGGTGAGAACCCCAACCAGGAGAAACCTGGCAGACGCTAATAGCTTGTGTGTTCCCTGAGCAGCAACACCAATGGTACGGTTTCCTCCCTAGGAGGCTGTATATTGTAGGTCAGGGTGCAAGGTGGAACCCAGAACAAGTCAAAGCAGGTGTGATATCCACTCAGGTATAGAACCCAGGGTGTGGACACAACCTGCAATAAGGTGGATAGGAAGTGGGGCAGGGTGGAGACAATGCTATGTCAAGCCAAAGCAGAAGGTAGAATCTACTGTACCAGCAGATTCTACTGAACTTATATAGGCTTCAAATAAATTAAATGTGATCACAATCTGTTACGATCAGTTCCTGTACCACAGCATTAGCATTAGGGAGTATTAATGCTGATACTCCTGGACTCCTCTATGTTGGTCTCCATAGTGTCGGAGCCCTAGGGGGCCTGTCTGTGCAGGTTACCTAGTCCTTAATGTTGTCTCGTATCCAGTGGTTGAAACCCCAATTGGTTTGCAACTGTTCATGCAACTCTTGGACATCTCTGTGTCATCCCCTCTGTCGTTGGGGGGCTAGGGTCTGTGAGTATGGGTTCCCTAGCCCTTAACCTCTCTGGTATCCAGTGGCTGAGACCCCGACAGGTCTACAGCTTAGAACCCAAGATCAAATTTTAACTGTGAGAAGGTCATGTTGATATGGCATGTACAAAACCATGTATGAAAACAGCTGTTTTTATTTCATCTTGAACCTATTAGTGGGCAGAAGTGAGGTATTAGATTATGAGTGTACACCCTCCCTGGGGTGGTAGGCTACACTATTGATGGCCGAAAGTCAGTGTAACAAACCAACTAAGAAGGATTGAGTAGACTTAACAAGGCAGCCCAAAAAGCTGTTATGGCCTGACTATGATATTCAACACTGAGCTATAAACAGTGGTGGTAAACCATTGTCTTATGTGCTGGAGGTGAAACATCAGGGAACTACTCAGAATTATTGACTTGCAACTTCAACAGCCTCTGATTAGTCTGACGACTATTGAAGAAAGATATATGAAGTCAGAATTGTTACAACCACTTTAGGGCCGGCTGAGATATTGTGCTCCTGGATACCAGTTAGAATATCACACTTCCAGATACTCACTGCATTTCGGCGGTTTCTCGAACCAAGGCTGCGCCGAGGTTCCTCGGCAGACCTGGACACACCTTGGCCTTGGCAGACCTTTGCCAAGGTTCACTCAAGGGGCCTGGTATCGAAAGCTGTTACGGCACAGCTCTTAAGACTTAGCCATGCAGTGGTGGGGGTGGCCATCAGTTTTCACGGTCTTCAAACCAACAAAATATAAATAGACTGACATGAGAATAGTGATTTCAGATCAAGTTGTGTGTATAATATTAATACCACCTAAAAGTTAATGGGAATTAAATGGTTAACAGTGCCTAGTACAGGGACTAGCTAGAAATAAGAGATTGAGGGAGACTGAGCTGTCTGCAACAGCTGAAGTCCTGTAACCATCAGGTAATCACAGCGGGCCATGACTCTGCTGCACCTAGCAACCCCCATTAGCCGACTCTATGTATAGCCGACACCTCAAACACACCCCTCCTGCTGGCTAAGTGGCCTTTCACGTGCTATGCAGCGAAAGAAACCAGTTTTGGTGTGGGGTGGATCGAAGAGACTCGGGGCATCTCGAGACAGTGGTGCGAGGCAGCCTCGCACGCACCTCGGCAAAGCTGGGCACAGCCTTGCCCGGCAAACCCTGCTGAGGTGTCTAGACCAACCTCGGCTAAGGCTCGCCAAACCTGGACCCATGTGCGTCCAGGAGCCGCCGGAATGCAGTGACTAGGTGAAAGTCCAACTGACTAGATTGTACTGAAGACATGTTACTGAGTCAACCATTACCATTGTTACTCAGGCAGATCTAGCCATTAGAAAGATGGGATCCTCGCATCAAGGCTAACTGATATGAATGATGAGGATCGACACTACAGTATTGTGCTGCCAGATATTTCACTGGCCACTATACTGGTTTACACAGTATTGAGCCACTAGATATTTACTACAAGTTCCACTGAGCTTGTGAAGTACTGGACTGATTCAGGAGCTGAATAGGACTTGACCGAAACTGACTTGATCAGTCAGAAAGATGGAAACCAAGACAACTAAGCGCAACTTATGGTGTGCTAGAGAAATACATGTGGAATAGCCCTGGTAGCAGGTCATAATACCCATGGTTGAGAATGTCTTCTACACCATTGGCCATTCACTACTCGAGCCCCCACCCTTTACTCGTGATCGACAAAAATAATGGCGTCATCTCACATGATGTTGAACCAGGACGCTTCCTCACACATTCCTCGCCATTCCTCTGACCTCAATGCTGATTGCCCAGGTCAGTATGAGACCTCATTATGCATCCTAGGTCAAAAAACCAATTTATTCGGGCTATGCTCGCCAACAGGAGCCAATACAAAGTCCCGGATCAAACGTCAGACGCCATTATTTTTGTCGATTACGAGTACTGTTCCTATTCATTCTGTTTATCTTCTTTAATTCTCTCTAAATGTATAAAAGCCAGTTGTGTACTCTGTATTAGCCAGTAAACTAACCCCCCAGATATACAGGCAATATAGTAGACTCTAGATTTGTGAAAAGCAATCAGATAGATTCCAAGACACACAGAAAAGATTAGAAGATACAGGACATCAAAAAGACTACTGCATTGATATAAGAGCCCCCATTCAACCTATTCAGCCTGTCCCCTGTAGCAGTGCTATGGGCCTCCAGGTTAAGACCTGTTAATAGAGAGGTTGCGCAAAGCCACCCAGAGCCACCCAGGTGGCTTTGAGGCATGTGCAAGCCGGTGGCTTTGGTTTCCGGGTGGCTTTTGAGGTGGCTTTTATATTGTTGCTCCATGCCCCTCCCTGTGTCCCAAAAATCTATGTTTCTCCTACCATGTGCAAAGACATTACATGAGGCTAGATTCCATTTTGCAGAGATACTGAAAGTTATTTTGGGTAAATGAAATGAAGATTTTGGCAATGTTGGTGAATCAAGTGAAGAAAGGGTGAATGGCCAGCAGATGGGTGCTGCTGGAGGGCCTGATTCTTCTCGGTGGGCATGATTGGGGTTCGGTGGGGGGGCCTGCTGGCTGGGGTGGCACCGGGTGTGCTATTGGCAAGCCGCCCGGGGAGCCACCTGGGGACCGAGGCCACCGGCTTGCGCATGCCTCGAAGCCACCTGGGTGGCTCTGGGTGGCTTTGGGCAACCTCTCTAATAGGATGGTTCCACAAGTAACTTGTGAAAACTAACTTGCCCTGCCACAAGTAACTTGTGGCAGAGCAGGTTAATGTTTTCCCAGGTAAGTTCCACACAAGTTAGCACAAGTAACTTGCAAGGTGATGGCAAGTTAGATCAAAGTAAGTTTGGTTGTGTTTGGCCCAACCAACTGGTAGTTAACTTGGGGCGATTGAAGGGGCATTTAGTGTGAGTATGCTGGGGAATAGGCTTTAAATTCTTCAATTCATATAGTGACACATTTATATGAGGTCTTGGGCCAGTATCCAGCCTCACCACTGATGAAAACCGTTGAGCCCCCTATTTCTCAGCGACTTGAACATGATGTCAGGCTGGGAGAGCAATTGATTGTACAGAGGGAAGTCCATGAGACATACTTGACATAGAGACCTGATCTTTGATCTGTAATTTTGTCTCCCACGACCTTCTAGAGGCGGCATCAGTGTGATTGTCCTGAACAGTGTAAAAGGATTCATTGTATATGTCTCAGGCCTAGCAGGTGTGAAAGCTCAAATTAGGCACCATATAAATGTCCAAAAGAATTTATTCCTCATTACCTGAGTGCACCAGTGACCTGCAACATGTCAACTTGTGCTAATTGATCGTAAAAGTTAACATTGGCGGGGGGATTGATGCGATTCGATCGCAAGTTAGTTTGTTTGATCTGCAAGTTACTTTCAGTCAGCTGCAAGTTACTCCAAGTTACTTGCAGTTACTTGAAGTTACTTCAAGTAAACAATGCTTGACAGTGATCTTGATGTTCATTTGACTCCCTGTTTAGGTTAGCAAAGATGCCCAGGTAGCCATGCCAGCCAAGCTGAGCAAGCCGTGATCCTGTGCATCTACCCGGCTGCCAGTATGGCCAAATGACACTAAAGAATGGATCGGAGTCAGACGGCACGCTTCTGGTCAGATATATGGCACGACCCCACAATCCGCAGTTGGATTCACTCACATACGTGGAATTCGGTTCAAAATGCCGCCTCAAAACGCACAATCCACAAAATAAGCTACATCTGCTTCAGGTACTCGCGGACGAATACCCTGGCCGGCCTCAGATGTGTATTCGATTTTATCAGCCAGGGCATGTTGGTGTTTGCCACATCCAAATGGTTTACCCACGTCATGGTGATGTCTTTTATCTTCGCGCGCTGTTACTTCATCGCTGCACCCGAGACTGGGTCAATCTTTGTATAATTGATGGAGTTGTTTATAACACGTATCAAAAAGCAGTGCGAGCCATGGGACTGTTCGATAATCGGGACGAGGGAATCATGGCCTTCGATGAGCTGGTGGATACAGGAGCGGCACCTGCCCAGTTGCGTTGGATGCACCGCTCTCCAGATACTTTATTAGCTCATCTTAAGTTCCAGGTGGTCCAGACCACCAGGGGACTTGAGTGATAGAGAACTTAAGTGATTGCAACAAGGATCATATCAAACACAAAAACAAAATCCACTTAAGAGATTTGAACTACTGACCTGTGTGTATCAACAGAGTATATCCTTCCTGGTGTAGTGGTTAACACCTTCACTTTCTGCTGGTATGAAGTTGGGAGGTCTGGTGTTCGAATCCCCTTGGTGGATTTGTTTTTGGTGTTTTGACAGGACTTAAGTATTTGGACAGAACTTAAGTGCTTGGGGACTTAAGTGTTGCGGGACTTAAGTTCCAGGGATGTGGTCCCATGTACAGGCCAACTGCATGCAAGGCAGAACTTAAGTTCGGCGGGACTTGAGTCCTGCTGTGGTTCAGACCGGCATTAACTTAAGTTGAGCTCCTTCAATTTCATCCCCACATGCAGACGTGGTCCGAACCGACTCTTGCTCATCCTTCAATCACTCCTTCATAGCCTTGTGAACGTCAGCATGAGATCGATGCAGAACACTTGCAATGGGGCGGGGACCGTGGCAATCTTTGCGCATTCAAAGACAGGCTCACACAAGAACAAGTTGGTTGTTTTCCTTTTTATGGCCATTTTTGCTGACATTGATTGTCAGAGAGTGGTGTACAATCGTGTTATGCATGTTACGACACTAGAAAATCCATCGCCCATTCATATTGATGGATGCGCTGGGCATGGAAAAACATATGTTCTGTATCCCATCATCGGTGCTCTACAGAAAGTTGATCAAATCATTCTGTTGTCGGCTTCTGCCTTCGCAGCGAAGACTTATCCTGGAGGCAGAACAACACGGTGGATGAATATAATCCTCACCTCAAATCATCGGTCGGCCCGCACAGCGGCCGCACAAAATTACTACAGGCTGCGAAATGTCATGTTATTGATGAAATCGGAGGGTTGCACTTCAAGGCATTCAATTGCACGGATCGCTTGATGCGTGGTTTAACCGGATGCCAACACCGTGGCTGGGGAGGTTGTATGCTGGTCACAGTGGGGAATTTTTGTCAGGTATACTCGCTATATGATGATCCTACCTCAAAACCCCCTCACATTTAATAGGTAGCGCCTGTTGTTCGGTTTGGAGGACAAACTGCAATCTGCAATGCATCTGTGCGAACTCAGGCAGTCTTCAACCATTTCGAAATATTGCAGCTGGAATCATCAATCCGACAGCACAGAGATCCTGCATTCTCTTCTTTCCTAGATGCAATCGGAGATGATCACACTCATGATTGCGTGGACCTCGCCGCCATACGACACACCCGATCAACACAGGAATTAATCGATATCATATTTCCTCCATCTGTGGTCGCAGATCCCGGTGTTTCTATCTTGCGAGCTATACTCAGCCCTTTCAACACATTCGTCAATGAATTCAACTCAACAATCCTCCTGACCATTCCAGGGGATGTGCATGTTTATAACAGCAAAGATATCGTGGATGATGACATTGGAGGTTCAAACGAGGCAGTATTTGCAGATCCCGAATTCCTGAACTCGCTGAAAGAGCCAGGAGTTCCCCCACATGAATTAGTCCTCAAGATCAGTACTATTTGCCACCTCACCCGGAATTTCGATGCTTCTTGGGGCCTAGCAAAAAACACCTGGGTTATTGTGCGCAATCTCCTTCGGCATACCGTTGAAGTCGAGACGATATCCTGTTCTGTTGCTAGAAAAGTTATCAATCCTGTATGTGAACCAGACTTCTCGTATTCATGCCACTGATACGGGATATAGATATGACTTCATCTCCCTCGCATCAACGTTCATTTTCAGCCCCATGGATTCAATTTCGTTGTTCAACGGAAGCAAATACCGCTTGCTTTGTCCTACGCGACTACTTTCAACGGCCGTGAGGGCCTCACAGTGGATAAATTGGGCCTTGATCTACGATGGCTGGTATTCTCACATGGACGACTGTACTCAGCGATGACTTGTGTTCCCAATTCGCAAAATGTTTTGATCTTGAAGTATGCAGAGGATTCATATTGTTTGGGAAGAGCTCCTCCTGTAATCCTGTGAATAACAATGCCATTTTGTATTTTATTCCTTTGCCAGATACTAGTCAAGTGGGTAGCAGCCAGCTCCGCCAGCCGCGAACCGCTTGTACCGCTTAATTCAACAGTACATGCAGTTGAGGTAAACATTAATGCATTTAGAGGTGTTTAAAAGGAATCCTATGAAAACAGGACTTGGGTGACCCGCACCCGTTAGTTTCGAGCCCGTGGGAAAACTTCAGTTAACTTGCGGCACACGTGCCGAAAGGGGCAAGTTCCGCACAAGTTACTTTTCACAAGTTACTTTTTACAGACTCCTCTAATAGAAGTGAGACCGCTGCCTTCAGTGTAACTGTCCGCACCATTAGCCCAGCCCCCACCTTCTGTGTAACTGCCCCCATTTCATTGATACCACCGCCATTTGTGCAAGTTTGGTTGATATTGAACTAGTGTCTGTTTGTTGATAGTCTGTCCTACCTTCTGCTTCTTGGCTAGTTGCCAGTAGTGTTAGGTTCTGCCGCTCACAAAGAAACTGAAGACTTGAACAGTCAATTTACTTGAGTCTTGATATTTGGTTGGTGTCAAGTCCCTGCTACCCCTGCATAACCGTGCTCAGACCGCATAGTTTGCTATTGAAACAAAGTCTTATACCACCTTTGCACACCCCCTTTATGGGTGATATGTACCCTACCTCCCCAAACACGCACACACGAGCATTAGGATTGGATTAGTGCTTTGTTTTTATCTTGGTTGGATTGTCATTAATGACTAGCTCACTTCACTCTCTAGTTGATTTCATTAGATTAAAGGGCCACACCCTAGTGCACTGTTTCAACGTGGCGGCATCATGTGAGTCCTGTGCTGCTAGATGTGTCTGTATCCATACAGACACGTCGTGCGAAAAAAGAGGAACCCGGGGGATTCATAATGAAGTGCTCAAGGAAGGTGAGTTGATCCTGATGGTTGACTTCACAGAGCATATTGATCTGTGCCTAAAAGAGACCCAGGCCCATAAAATGGCAGAAGAAGCCAACAAGGGTAAAGAACAGATGACAGAGGATTCAATCCTGGGACAATACCACAAATACATAATGGTCTTCACAAAAGAATCATTCAACTTGTTGCCGGAGCGAAGATCATGGGATCACACACACTTGAACTCAGGCCTGGATTGCAGGCCATAGATTGCAAGATCTATCTGTTGTCTCGGGTGGAGCAGGAGAAGTTGACTGAGTTCTTGGAGGAGAACTTGAAGAGTGGAAGGATCCGGCCGTCAAAGTCACCAATGGCCTCAGCATTCTTCTTTGTGAAGAAAAAGGATGGCAGCCTATGACCAGTCTAGGATTATTGCAAGTTCAACAAGATGACAGTTAAGAACTGTTATCCACTTCTGTTGATTTCAGAGCTAGCGAATAAGCTTCAAGGCACCAAGATCTTCACAAAGTTGAACATCCACTGGGGATACAACAATGTCTGGATCAAGGAGGGAGATGAGTGGAAGGCAGCATTCAGGACCAACCAAGGGCTGTTCAAACCCTTGGTGATGTTCATCAGGCTCATGAACTCACCAGCAACATTCCAAACCATGATGAACAATATTCTCCAAGATCTGATGAATGAAGGAAAAGTCATTGTGTGCCTAGATGACATCCTAATTTTCACAGAGGATTTGGAGGAACACTGGGCAATAGTGAAGCAGGTATTAGATACTCTCCAGAAAAATCAATTGTACAAGCTGTGCCTTTGCTTTGCTCCAGCTTAAGGGTTCACGGGTTAGAAATGAATTTATCATTGTAACTGTGGATACACATGAAGCTATTTAATCCTTGGTAGGACAAATATTGACCGTCAGAATTGGTCAGAACTGTAAGGAAAACCGAGGATAGAAGACTATTATTTGAGACCAAATAGTGCCTGAAACTTGAAGGAGGCTGTGCTCACTGATCTGAGGGTTGTTATAGTCAGGAACGTAGGAGTTTTTGGCACAAAGAAGGCCATACTGAAGGAAGAGGTCAGGATTGAAGGCATGGAGTCGAATAGAAATTTTGTGGCTACACCTGTACTTTAGCAAATATCAATAAACAATACAGGATGGTGGTGAAGAAGAACATGCCGAGATGCTGGTACATCCAAGAGGCCCATCCAACTTAGATAGTTGTACTACCTGTGGCCGGTGCATATCAATGTTGAAGTGCAATGGAATAAAATTGATGTGATGGTGTACCAGGTGGAGAGGATGAGAAAGAGCCCAGGCGACACATAGGTATGATGAAATTGGATCAACATAAATGAACCTCAAAAGTACCAGCAAACATGCTCACCAATATAGGTCAGACTGTGATAGAAAGTAGAAGGCTGCTGAGAAAGAATGTACCAGCAGCACAATGCAGTCAAGGACTGTGCATTAATGGACCCATTGAAGCATATACAAACAGCACTTTGGATATATGTATGCGGAGCCCTATCTCAACTAAAATACACGAGGTTTCTGTTAATGCATTTGAGTATCCCAGTAATCAAATATGGATATAAACCATGGGTTAATGTATTCATCCCAGCTAGAGTGAATGGAAACGGTGAGCAGGTCATCATTCGACCCAACACCTGGGGTGTGGCTTACCAGGATCTGATGAACAGAACACAGAGATGGAACAGACTGCCTGAAGTAAAAGAATTCTGCAAGGAGCTGCACCAAACTTGAAATGTTGCAATCGGTCATTGCTCCATAGCACATGTGTCTCACTATCCACTTGTCTGGAGATGTATAACAGGCATTAATTGCTTGTAAAACCTTGACACAAGGTTGCAAGAGCATTACATAGTATTTGCATGGCCTTGACTTGGACTCCTTCATCTTGACGGGCTGTAGATTCGCCAATGGCTGTTCACAAACACACAAAGGAGATGCTGAAACAGCATAACATAAATGCACGGCATCTAGGGCTAATTTTGCGAATTCCTATGACCAGTATTTATACAACAGGAAACAACTAGCAGTTCTGTTGTTACTAGCATCCTAGCTAGTACGAAGACCACTTGTTAGGTGATATAAAAAAGAGTCAGAGCGAGCCCTAGGCCCCTAACTGCTGACTGTAGCACGAGGCTACACTAGTGTGATGCGCTAGCTGCTAGTTGAGTGTACAAACAACCAGGGATTAAACCACTGCCTATACATTCATGAGACATG